TGATTTGTTTCTTCATTGACAGCATTAGTAAATGGCTGACAATGATTCAAACGATATAGCTTGTATAGCTTAATCCATCATAGAAATTTAAGTCAGAGATTTTCTATGATGGAGTTGAATTCAACATAAAATTTTAAGGTACCGCATGTCAGTTCTTTTGCATTTCACATTTGTACTTGTTTCCGCAAATTTCCAATTAGCCAATTTTGGCGTTATACGTAATTTTCTTCAGGATTTACTACATCATACATACCGGGTTGCTGAATTTCTCCCTCCAAATGCCTGAGGATCGACTGCACATCTAGATTTGGCCGTGTCAGCGGAGACAGCAATTCGTGCCGAATCTAGAAACGACGTTTGTTAATATTTTTCCAGCATAATTAGTACGGAAATCAGCAATACGAACATTCAACCCTGCGTTCGGGCTCGAGTCATGTTCAGGGCGGCGTTTGCATCCGTAGTCAGAATCTGAAAGAGCCAAGACGTCTCTAGCAGCACAGAGAACAGATATACACACCCCTTAGCGTACCTCTCATTAAATCTGGCCGCAAAGAACGCTTGCGTCTGCTGCCGCTGGCTGGTGTCCTTGAACCGAGCGAACCGTTCGCATTCGTTTTGCTGGCGTTAATACACTGAAACCCAACAACCGACACGTCAGCAGAATCACCAGAGTTTGAGTCACGATCAGACTCAGAGTCAGTGATGTCGATGACCTCGACCGATCTGTAGCCATCTTCTCTGTTCATAAGCTCGTGTAAAGAATTATTAGGCGGATATACGTGAGCTTGCGACGGATATGATTCACTACTTGAGATGAACGCAGAACGGACAGCGGCATTGTGTTGGTTAATGCTGGCACTGAGGTCATGTGGGATCTTTTGTCCTGTGTTTTCGTCGTCATCGCTCAAAGTGATGACTTCGACATTTGCAAGATCGCCTGTTTTCGTTGAAGAATCATTGAGGTCTTTGGGGAACGAATCTTCGTCTGGATCACTTATATGTTCAATGGGGCTTTCAGGCACGACTTCAGGCGTCGTGACTCTGCGCCATGAATTCATAATTTCTGTAGCAGCGTCATGTGACTGCTGGTCATCATGGTCCACAACCGCTGGCCTGATGCAAGGTTCGCTTTGATGGTAGGTATTTGGTACCACGTAAGAACTGGTCGCATCTGGCCTACATTGATCAGGGCCAGAGTCCCACGCCGAATCGACGCTATTAACATCGAATTTTAACCACGCCTTATTCTGCAAAGTAGCACGGTCTCCATGAACTCCATTGGCAACGAGATGAAGTGGACGCGACCATACTCTTTCGCCACAGTGGTCCTGCACTGGCGTTCTCTGCTCCGACGGAATCTTCAGCAGAATAGGACAGTTCCCTGGTGAACCCATTATTGACTGAATATCGTTCCTCTGTGGACATCCCTCGTAGTTGGCCTTTTGTGGGTGAGCCGAAACCTGAGTCGAATAACCTAGGGTACAAAACCGTTCGCCGTGTTCGCAGTTGAAGTTCACCGAACTCCCTACGTGCTTTTGATCGTCACTGACGATCGCACTGAAAGGCACTTTCAACAGCCGGTCACCGGGGTCACTAGAACATGATGATGGCGAGGCGAAAAACCGCATTTCACGACTTTCGAGTGGAGGTGAAACAGGAAAAAACGATCGCTGCAGCTGCGCGTTATTCGGTTCAAGAAGCATCTGAACGAAGCTGTTGTCGTCGTTGAGTTCACACAGATCATCCGAGCCTTCATCAGACCAGTCGGCCATCTGCGCATTCTACGTTTCCTGATTATTGGCGAAATTCATCATTGCCTAAAGTAAACAATCATATAACATGGCAATAAAATGTAGCATTTCACTTGACCGCTAAACACCAATCAGAGGGGAGTAGGCTAGACATTTTCCCGCCTTCATTGGGTAGGCAGGTGGGAATGATATACATTACCTTCATAAAATTGGCAGTATATTAGTCTAAAAAAATGGCCATCACCCAGACACAAATCAAAAGTGTAAAATAGAATATATTATCACAAACTAAAAGCTATAAAAATATTAACCAACTGTGTCCTTTCAAGTTGATGCCGATTTTACAAATTTAACTGTAGCCCCTGTTTAGGATTTGAAACTAAGCAGGCACAGAAAACCATCAGGTTTAAAGTCAGTCAGTCATTTTCGATGAGTGCCTAACCTTTTGAATCACGGAAGCAGATTCTTCAGGAGGTATCTCTAACGTCTGCGATTCTACGTATCTGAACTTCCTCAAAAGATAACCCAATTTAAAGCAAAGTGCGCTGAGGAATTTGCTCAGGGTCATTCTTGGCCGTCCCCATGGTTTTCGACCGGTGGGATGTAAAAGTAGTAGCTGATTCGTCCTCCTTTCTGAAAATATTTGCAAAACGTGCCAAATCTAAGGTAACAATGACTTTTTTTTGAAAAGTCGTTAAGTTTAAAAGAAGGTTACAATGTAAGAACTTCTCACAGACAAATCACACATGAGAAACGCAGCCCCATCCACTAAAGAAGGCAATATACTAATCACATGACGCATGAGCATAATTCGTCTAATGATAACGATTGTACCCTCGTTTACTTGTGCTCACTACCATACTAGATAGTGAGCTATTAGATTGGTAACGGCGAAGTGCAGCAGTAAAAGGCGTTCGTATGGGAAAACATGACCATGTCTCGCATGAACTGGTACGACCACACTATCATTTAAAGGTCGACCAATAACTAACCGTTTCTCGCCTGTGAGCACCAAAGTAAATAGGGATGAGTATAAGACAATTTTTTATTCCAATTCAGTACATCGTTAAGGTTTAAAACGGACCTCTCATCTGCTGAACCAGCTCCTACTGCATAAAAATCGTTCCATATTCTTCTAACACATCTTAGAATATTACGCGGTCATAAATCATAAAGCAAGAACAGTTTTACCTTTCATTACAGTTACTACCTATCTAACTGCGCAAGCATCAGAAGTGCTAAATCAAAAGTTTACATTGTACGACAGCTACTGCAGCTGCGTAATAAACATAGGAACCAATGTAAGCAATAAAAAAGAACCTAGCCTACAATCCCGTTACATTTTAATCACAAAGGCAAAAACAGACATGTGCTTACAGAGGAACTTCCCTATTGAGTTAGTGAAACCGGTGCCTCGTAGCAAAAATGTTGAAATGGCGAGAATGCAGCAAAAAATCACAAACAGGAAACGTTACACCTACAGAAAATCTGGTAAACTGAAGGAATCGCATTTACCCCAATTTTTATGCGTTGCATACTGCAATTTTTGAAACTTGTCCAATGTTTAAGCTGAGAAAGGAGCTACTCCTTACCTCTGTGAGGTCCGTTTTGTTGCACCGCACGAAAACAGTTGTTCCAATGAAGGAGCAAGAACGATGGTTGAAGTGCGTGCAGAATCTTTCATCTCGATGCACAGTGAGGTTTAAATGACGATCACATAACGAACGACAGCCTTATTCCCCGCAGAAATGCACGCTGCAGATTAGGACATTAAGAAACTAATGATGACCCTGTTAAACAAACTGAAAGGGCATAAACTATTTATTCTTGGTTCTGTGGACGTCGTTCAGAAGGTCAGCTTGCAACATGGAGGAAGAAGGTAGATCCACTGTTAGAGAGGTGCGTTTCTTTATAAGATGCAATAACTGGTGCCCTATAGTAAAAGTGTTGAAAAGTTGCGAATATAGCGGACATTATAAAGTAGAGAAGCCTTGTTTAAGGAAACGGGTGAATGGATCATCTAAATAAACACAAAATATTCCTCAGAGTTCGTTACTTACGCAAGGAAAGGAAAAGGACAGTTTATTCTATCATCGTTAGAATGCCCGTCTTCCTTCACTGACATAACTGGGTTCTTTCGACGCACTTCTTTCTATGAAGATAATGATGCGGCGCCGGTCTGCGTTTCTTAGCTATCATCCAAGAGTGCCTTATTTTTAACATCTGTGCCTACAGCCATGTGATTAGCCCACTGTGATGCAATCTCTTGTTCTTTCCAACAGAGTGTAACTCGTCTATCAATCTCGGTAGGAAGAAGAGGGAGAGACCACGAGGGGGACTTGGACTCGAGACCCATGAGTTCTGAGTTCGACGCCCTACCGACTGATGAGCAATCCCGGTTTGCAGCAACGTATCCCAAATTCCTTGCTCAAGGAAATTCATGAATAAGACAAAGCTTACTGTCGAGCGGAATCGAACCGGCACCTCAAGAGTTCGAAGCAGATCTCTTAGACACGTGCCAACACGCCAACCTCACTACTTAAGAAGTGAAAATTACTGCTTCTCCATTGTGAAGATAATTTTCGCAAACTGAAAAATGGACATAAATTTACATGGTTTTCTGTACAACTTTCCTTTATTTTTAATACAGTATCACTAAGAAATGTAGCAGAATCACTAAGGGGTCATCTAAGAGGAAGCGAGAGCAGCAAAATATCCAGCGTAAATCCTAAGTGCG